ATGGTTGGATGGTTGGATGGTTGGATGGTTGGATGGTTGGATGGTTGGATGGTTGGATGGTTGCGTACCTTTACCACAGACCAGGTTGTAAAGTGAAACTTTCACGAAGATCACTCGCGGTTGCAGTACCGTGATCGTATAGCTACAATCCTTTATAGAAGACTCGTTTCCATGGCAATATATATTTGACAATGCCAGCCCATCATAGGGTAATACGTCAAAAGACATGGATACGTCATGTCTTATTAATAAGCAGTGTGTTGTTGAGAGACCAAGCATGCGTAATACTACATTTTGAAATTCTGGAAGGCTACTATACTGTAAATCAGTATATCCCATGATGCCATTGAAAGACACATGAACAATTCCTTCTTGTTTGCTCATTCCTTTAGCGAGCTGGAAAGTAACTTTCAAAACAAATGTAATAAGTTTTTATGACCGTCTGACGATTATTAATGATTAAGTCATAATTGGTTCAGGATCTGAATCAAAAGGGGAATCACCCTATTCTTTTTGGCGCTAAATGTAGCAGTGAGGTAATATCAGCTATAAGAACTGATTCTCATCATTTTCTTTATAAAATAATTAATAATCCACCAGTCTGACGCCAAAAAATATCATATAAAACTGCAGGTAGCCAGCGCAAACAATTAAGGATATTTCAACATCAGAAAACTTGAATAGCAATTCTAATAGGATGTTAGTACTAACTACAATGTCTATTACTGAATCATGAGCTTCATTTGGCTTTATATTACTTACTGTTCAGCCGTCCACAAGCTACTAATGCTTTATTTCGTCAAGTTAAACTGTAGCGATTCTTGTTCCTCAGCCCTGGATGATCGCAGTCCAGTAAAGAACTTTCGTGTCCTAAACATTTCACGTGATCTATCCACAGATGAGGAGCTTTATTTCTGCTGCTTAAAGGAGGTGCATCATGAGGTCCTTCGATGCCCAGCATTCGACACACTACGTCCATGGCGTTCTTATCCCAATTATTGATCCCAATTGGTGCTTTTACACCATCCACAGAAAGTAGAACATTCCCTATGGCTAGTTGTGTTTCGCTTATGGAGTCAAGCCAAGTGACAACTTCAACTGAAAGATTGATGTGATTTTTTTGAAATTTTATTTTACTTTATATTGACCGATTGAGGACACTTTTTATTTCATCGAGTAGAAAGACTAATCGACTTTTTATCAGCCTATCTTTTATTGCTGAAACAGACCTATTAATTACGAACAGATTTCTTTGTATTTGACGCTTAGGCTTCATCATCGTCGTCATCCTCATCTAGCATCATTGTCATCATCAGCATAATAATGATAATCATCATCGTCATCATCATCAAGCATCATTGTCATCATCAGCATAATAATAATAATAATCACTATCGTCATCGTCATCAAGCATCATTGTCATCATTATCAGCATAATAATAATAATCATCATTATCGTCATAATCATCAGCATAATAATAATAATCATCGTCGTCATCATCATCATCAAGCATCATTGTCATCATCAGCATAATCATCATCGTTGTCATCATCAGCATAGTCATCATTATCATCATCGTCGTCATCATCAAGCATCATTGACATCATCATGATACAGTTATTTCACAAGGGTTGAAAACACTACATCTTAAGCTGATAAACTTGTGACCCTCCAACAATCTTAACCAGGGTTTATAATTCACAAAGCTTTTCGTATCTAGATTAGATAAGGTGAGGATGTTGGGACTTGATATTAAGGCCCTTCTTACTCCATTCTCTTCAGTACCTCCCCAATTCCCTGGTGAAGGTAGAACCGCCAATATCACAAAGAGTCTGGATGCGTCTGACACTCAGTTCTCTAGAAAAGTAACACTTACTTTTGGGATGGCCACAAACAATCCCTGCAAAGCCTTTGTTGTCATGGAGGGGTTTTTTTCAAGGTAAACCCATTACAATCAAAGATGGATAATTCTTCACCGGTACAGTTTTCAATATGTACCAAGGTATCCGTTCCTGTAGTTGAAGGAAATATGGAACCTTCTGGTGCTGCTGTTGCATTGGGAAGACCCAGCATTCGACAGACAATGTTCGCTGATTGGATGGTCCATCCTCTGCTATAAGACACTTGGCCCCAGGACCCGTAAAGAAATACTTCTACTCGACCTGTTGAGTTACTGTTGCTGCCTTGAATCCTGACAGAAACTGAACAAAAATAATCAAACTTCAAAATTGTTCTTAGTGGCCTGTTATTGGAATCAAGGCCGGATGACGACAACGTGTTGGTTAACTCGGGGTATTAAAATAACTGAGAATAAGGTCGGCGTTTCACAAACTGCGTTTGCAATTGCAAATGTTTAGACTCTCAAGCGGCTCGAATGACCAACCACTTTCCTCTTTCTCTACTCAGTCTTAATTATCATTAATCAATATCGGGGGAAAGTAAAAGACAAACTGAGGACGTAATTAAAAAGAAAAGCTGCAGTGACGCCTTCGATCGGTATGTACCTTCTTCTTATTTGACATAAAAAGGGCGCTATATCAATATTAAACTATAGAAAAGCTTGCAAAGCCCTTTGCACTTATATTCTTTGTACAGGGGCTTTGTACTACATACCAATCCGTTATCCCCACGTTTGCCAAATTCGTAACACTAGGTGAAGTGGCCTGTAGTCAAAGCAGTGACGCGTGATCAAGGATCACTACTGCGATATATACCTATATATTTAAAGGTACGCCTTTGGAATCAAGGCGATCTATAGGCAATAGGAGATCGGTTATTCCAAAATCCAAGAATATCAATGAATGGTGTTTCTTATTATAATTCTTGTCAAGAACATGAAGGTATATGTTTGTAAGATGTTCAGGGTTGCTGTTACGACAAACCCCACCATCAACATCTCAACATTTTCACTGAGTTGAAAAACCCGTCATTAATACATTAATAGTTTGGACATAGTTAATAATTTGGACGTGATGTTTTTTCCATTTCAGACCATTTCAGATCATTTTAACGATTTCGCATGAGAAGACACATAAATATGGATATGAACAACTCAAACCGAGAGAATTATTCTCAAAAAAATGAAATGTGATTTGAAATGAGAAAACATTAATTCTAACTTAAAGTCTAAGACAATGAGGACAGGTGAAGGGCGGATCCAGGGGGGGGGGGGCGGCAAAGGGGAGCTGAAGCTCCCCCTTCAGCAGGGAAAAACGATGCATTTTTTCCCCGTTGTGTTGGCGGAAGAAACTCAATTAGCCCCCCCCCCTCCCCCCTAAACTCAATAAGCCCCCACCCTAAAATTTTGGCTGGATCCGCCCTTGCAGGTTTACTGTTCAATCACGGCATTTAGGGATCGAGTCTGCTAACGGTTTTCCTTGTATGCAAGTCACCACTCTAGACCCCATAATAAAATATCCCAGATGACAGGTCACGTGACAGGTATCATTTATGCACTTGACATTTCCATTTGGAATCTTTAAAGAGGAACCACATCCTAAAAATAGATTAAAATGAGATGTGGTTGGTTTGAAGGTAGGAACTGACAGCGCAACGCGAAATATCATGAACACATAAATTGTATTGGTATACTTCTATGCACAGGCTTCTTGCTGCCAAACACGCCTTATTTGTGAAAACCAGCCAGCTTTCCATCCAAATGTGTTGGTCTAGCGTATAACATACCCGTGCACATAAATGTATGCGGATATATTATCGCCAGTCATATTTTTGCACGTTGCGCTGTAAATAGAGTACTGCATGACAATTGAACACATTGCTTACTCTTCTGCTGTCCACATGCTACTACTGCTGTAGTAGATGAAGTAACGATGTACTGATTCTTATTCCTCAACCCAGGATGATCACAGTCCAGTAAAGAACTCTCGTTTCCTAAGCACTTGGTATGATCTACCCATATATGTTTGTCACTGCCACTCCATTTAGTAAGAGGAGATGCATCATGAGGTCCTTCGATGCCAAGCATTCGACACACTACGTCCATAGCGTTCTTATCCCAATTATTGATCCCAATTGGTGCTTTTACCCCATTGAGAGACAGTAGAACCTCGCCAGTTATCAAGGTTCCATTGGTTTCAGGGGACTTAGAGACTATCATAGTAGCTGGGGGAATGCAATAGAACTCACATATTTAGATTTTGCTTTAAAAGTAACAAATAGATAGACTTCGACTAGTATCATAAATTTGAGTGTTTGGTTTCAAAAAAAGATAGAAGTAACATTGCAAAAACCGTTTGACAGAACCTTGCTGAACGACCTCAGGCCTATGCTGACCCGGCCTATGCGTTCGATAGTTCCAGATTAGTACCCAGCTTCACATGTGAGTAGAGTTTGCTAGGTCTTATTCGTCAGGTCATTTCTAAAATCTCTGGTTCTACGGTTTTCCTCCCTAGTCGCAAAAACCTCATCACCGGCGATACGCTAAATTCTAATTCGATCTGTTAGTTAGCCGTGCCTTGACTTTGATCTGCCCAGAAGCTGTTTCACGGCATAGAACAAATTGAAGGTGTCATATAACAAACGTTTTTTGAAATCCTGAAATAAAGTCCATGCCATTTTTGGCCGTCAGTAAAAGTCACATAATTTAGTCAGGGAAAACCTATGATTTGAGATGAAGGTGATACCTTACCTGTGGGGAGGCCACAAACGACTCCAGAATTACCGTCTTTGTTATAGCAATATCTAAGAAACTCTAAAAGACGATGTCCTGTGCATCCTTCAACCTGCATTAACGTGTATCTTGTTGTAGAAGGAAATATGGAACCTTCTGGTGCTGCTGTTGCGTTGGGAAGACCCAGCATTCGACAGACAATGTTCGCTGATTGGATGGTCCATCCCCTGCTGTAAGACACCGCGTACCACTGTCCATCAACAAACACTTCTACACGACCCATGGAGTCATTCTTGGTTGTACCTACGACCTTGACTGATACTGGAAAGAAAAAGGATTTAGTATTGATACGCGGACACTTACATTAGAGCACCAAACGTAGCATGTTACAGACTATGACTATGACATGGACTATGACTATGACTATGACATGGACTATGATATGACTCACAGCACTTGGGCAACAAACCAGCCCACTGGTTTCCATCGACGCACGTCAACTTTGTAGACCCAAAAATGAAATATCCAGGATTACAGGACACGTGACAGGTATAAACGGAACAGTTCAGTCTTGCATTCTGGATCTTCACCCCTAAGCACTGGGATACTAAATAGAAAAATATTTTGAGAAGATAATATCTGAGTGGTCACGTGATAAGAGAGAATTGTCCAAAAGTACCGGCATATCAAGCAGTACTTCAAATCTACCCCGTCGTCATAACAACCTTATCAATTAACTCAGAACAATACCTTTTTGCTGTTTCAAGACACTATATTCCAATGTAAACCTGGTTTGAATCCGACCCGTTATGACATACTTCAACCATATATTTCGGCCACTGGAAGTCATTGTAAGGTCTGAACTGTGTTTAGATAGCGTCTTGGAAGAACTGCTTGGAGTAACACCATCATAAGCCAAAAGAGGTTCGTTATAGTAAAGGTCAAGGTAGCGATTAATTTTAACTAAGTTGGTGGAATAACCATCAGGTGCTGTCAGTAGCCAATCACATTGCTTCCATCTTTTATATACATCAAGGTGGCCATCGGTTCGTTCAGTGACATTTACTAGTATGTTGTCAGGATCACTTATGCTAGTCCTCCGTATAGTACATTTAGAACAACATGAAGCAGCTGAAATAATAAAGGAGCAGATCATTTCAAAATGTAGCAGCATTATATCCCACGCATTGACAATACAGCCAATCACCATGCGTAATGATCGAGATCAGTTTTGATAGTGCTTTATGCGTGTAACATGGGAATGATTTAACTCGCAATTATTTGGACTCAAGCATTATAAATGGAATCCGTCATTACTTTTAAATATATGGAGGTTTTCACGTCGTCGGTAAACATAACGTCTGTCATTAAACTTAAGGACGTCCTTGGGCACTGCTCACGCGCATCCTTTCTGCGCAAACGTTTTGTGCGCCGCGCTCACTCGTGATGATCATGACTTCACGCGTAATGTTTTGATTGGCAAAATATCAAGAAAGTTTTTCTCTTCTTCAAACTGTCAAAGACCTGAAACAAAGTCGGTTCCCTGCTAAAAGTACTTTATAATACCTAAGTTTGAAAAAAAAAAAAAAAACAAAAAAACTTCCAGTCAAACCAGCTCATGCGTTCCACTCAAGGTTCAAACATTCAGTTTATTATTCAAACTTTGATTTCCATTTTGCTTTGAAACTTACATTAAATAAACTCTACTGTAACCATCTGACGAACGCAGTTTTTATTTTTTCCTTTTATTTATAATATATTTTTACTTTCATCACCCAAATTTTTTTCCCCTTAGTTGCTATAAATACTGGCTGATTTTTCAAGTTAACCTTTTTAATTTTCAATCGGCTGCCAGTTTTTTTGTTTTTGTTTTTTGTTTATTTGTTAGTTTGTTTATGGCTTCCTCTTCACTCCGTTTTGACAGCCAAAAGTAGCTTCTTTGTTTGGGAAATTATATTTTCTTGTCTTTGAGAGCGAAGTATCGAGCCAACTGTCCAAATAAACCACTGAATTAAATAAAGTGACCAATATAAATCATGCCATCTGGACGAATCTTCTTCTTTCTCCATTTCTTGTTTTTCTTTCTTTAGGTGGCACGCGAAGTCAGAAATCGAAGTGCATGTCAAAATGATAATGCATTCATATTTTACACCCATTTTCAAAATTACGTAAATCAAAGTTAGCACCGGCTGAGTTAAACGAAATTCCCGTTCAACCAATCAGAGACAACGTACCCACGCTTGAAATGGACAAAGCATATTAATTCCAATTGTAAAAAACGTTAATAGAAATATTTATTAAAAAGTTTAAGAAAATGCTATTCATTAAATGTTCGAGTTTGTTTTGATACCTGATCTTCAAGGTTGTCGATTTGTTGAGTTGACACTTAATTCTTTTAGATTATGAGTATTCAGGCGTAGCCATAATTAACATGAGCACTTTTAAATGGATGTCGAGTTAAGGGAATTTCTTTGAACTCGGCCCTTCCGGTAACTTTCATTGACGGAAGCCAAAACTTCAGATTCATTGGATTCAGATTAAACTGAAGTTGGAGACGGATCTCTTTCTCCGACTATACTTAGGCACTGGCTAAACTAGGAAACATGTTTCCCTAAATGTTACCTAAGGTGGCAAAACTGTCAGGAAACATCGGGAAACAATGCTTCCATGCGTCTTGGAAACATGAAATGTTTCTGCCGCACAGCAAAAGCATTTTTTGCGTCTTGGAAGCAAAATTTGTTGCACGCAGCAATGTTTCGCATGTGGCTAAACTGCATGGGAAACTTCGAGGAAACATGTGCGCCTTATGATTTTCTGTTTATTCTGAGTAAGCTGACGCGTATGTGCAAAAAACTAGAAGAATATGATTTTTCTCTTTTACTGACTATACTTATATGACTGGTTTTCTGTTGGTTCTGAGGATTTTTCCTATATTCATCGTTTATACCGAGATTTTACCAATATGTATTTTGAACATAAAAATGGGTTTGAGATTGCCCCTCGGGGCCTTTTATATTGATTTACAATAGATATTGATTTCCTCAAAAGTTTGAACATAAGGTAAATACCGGATTTCTGTAACAATAAACAAGTAAATAAACTTTCCTTACCTGTTGTAGAAAGTAGTCGGATACATTGCAAAATGGCCAAAAGAATCACGGGACTGATAACATGAAACAATGCCGCCATTTCTAGATGATCAGTGCTCTTCTCGGATTGCCGGCGACCAGTGAGTGATATATCATCCCTTGCGCACATATTTTTATTATTTGTGGGCGTTCTTGGAAGGAACCTGTCAATAAGACTTAAATGATTCAAAACACGATTTTAGTAAATTATGGCTGCTGTCATGAAGACTAAATACAAATAAACCTTTTCTCATAATAACATATTTGATATCATGAGCAGTGGCTCTGCTACCAGATGTACTATCAAGATCAAGTGATATAATGATTGTAAGTATCGATGACAACTATCTTTTTGTAGAGATTGGCAGAGAAAAGTTCGCTGACTGCGGAGTGATTTGAACCGTCCTGAAATGAGTTGAAAACTGAAAGCTATCACTCAATCAATGGCATCATAACAAGCACATCTGTTTGCATCTGTTTTTATATGCAACATACTCTCTACTTTTATTTACCGTATCTCGAATATAAATCCTTTTGTACAAAGCTATGATAGTGAACTCCCTCCATTGCGCACAAAGCTATTTTGCTGAGGCCGACTGAAATCACAGCCTGGAAACATCAATATAATATTATAGAACATGTAAAGCTTTTGCTGCTATACCGCTATACTTGAAGACGCTTATCACTAACTGGTGCATGAAGACCAAATAAGTTAAGCAGTTCGAACCTTTTTCATGCATTCATTTATAATGCTTACTGCCCACAGCTTTGTAGTTTTAACGTAGCCATATATGCAATGAGGATATTAAAGATTGGAAAGATTCGCTCAAGTCGTAACTTGTAACGATAGTATTAACGCGATAAGCTGCACGCGCTTCATGGTTTTCCCGTGGTGAAGATACGATGTCCCTACTGATGTTCAAGAAATTCACTACATCAGCTACAAAGGTAGTAGGAAAGTCATTTAACATATGGATTTTCAAGATCGAAGTGTCTTTGATATCTTGAAACTAGCTTTGGATTTTTTTGACATGTCATACATGTCAGATAATGATTAAAGGTTACTAGGTAGGACTGCGTTAGACTCTTCCACAGTCTCTCGCTCGTCCGTTCCGTCTCCACGCTTAGAGACTGTAACGGTACAATGACCGAAAGGACTTATGGGTCCCGAAAACTTGGACCCAGCGTGCTTTGGGAACCGAAATACTCGTCCACAGTCTCTCTCGTTTTCGCCGCCATCTTGAAAATATTGAAACGAGAGAGACTGTGGACGAGTATTTTGGTTCCCAAAGCACGCTGGGTCCAAGTTTTCGGGACCCATAAGTCCTTTCGGTCATTGTACCGTTGCAGTCTCTAAGCGTGGAGACGGAACGGACGAGCGAGAGACTGTGGAAGAGTCTAGGACTGCGTGGGTGTGTCGAATACGAGTCATTAAGAAGGAAAAAGGTTTGGAACAACACTACAACTGTTCAGACGTAACTTCTCCGTAGTCGGAGTCAAGGAAGACGAGGGACCAACGTCCAAAACTTCACAATGTTTGGCTTCCTTTTATTCAATTGTTGTCATGGAAACACTTTGATTGACGTAGTCCACCAAAATACTGCAATTTGATTCTGCGATAAAGTATTTTTTTGACGGACGATAATCAAGGTGTTTGATAAACTAGTTTTATCGTCTTTATCGTCGAGAAACGCAACAGGGACCATGGAGGGGGACAGTGCGACGTAGGGGGTAATGTCAAGGAGTGGATGTAACTTAGAATGCCAGAATATAGCCTTCTCTTTATTATTCTTTATTCTTATTTTTGTAGTTCCATGGGGGGCTCTCTATCTAGTCACACCCAATCCAACCCCTGTATCACGTGCTTGGGGGCTGGGAGGGTTTTAGCCTCTTCACTTATCGTTAATATCCCGTACCATTATTTTCAAGTCTTCTGAACCCCCCACCCCCCACCCAGTCAGTGCGGGTCTTATACATAACCCAGTTCTGGTCTTGTACATACCAGTCTATTATACTGCATTTCAGAACCTGTGTTCCCGACCCCGACCCCGACCACAACACACACACACACACTTCACTTAATTTTGAGGGTGCTCTGTAGGTGGTAGTGAACATTTTATATAAAAGCGAAAATAATTTACAACGTGAACATACAGTCAAAATTTACTTTAAAAAATAACTAATAAGTTTAGCTTCACTAAACTTAGAAAGGAAACCTAATCTCAACGATTGATAAAAATAAGGAAAATGGATAAAAGTAGTATAGATAAATAAATAATGAAAAAATTATGTAATAACTTTTGGTGCAACGTTTTCTCATTTCATTCACTTAAGAATAATATCCATTCCTTGTTGGGTTTTATCTATATTATGGTTTCTTTCAATATAATACTTGAGGAATGATGTGTGGTCTGAACTGGAAAGACACTTCATTAATATTCATTAATATATATAAATATCCTTGCCTTAGAATTATCTGAAGAAATGAGTCATTTGCTTTTGTCCTTGTGTCAGCTTGACTGACTTCTGTTTTTTCTTAGGAACAGTATTAGTCCTTTGTGGTTTCTTTTTCCCAGGTTCAGTCATTTGATGCATGCGAAGAAGGCCTCTTTTAGCAGTAGGTTTAGTCTGTTTATTGATGATATTTTCTTGATCATCTTTAGATTCAAATGGTCTTTTTCTCAGAGGTGAACTGCTTTTATCCTTGAGTGTATCACAAGTGTCATCAAAAGTCCTTTTTCTTGAGGATGACTTTGGTGTCTCGCCAGTGGTTAGCATCCCACATGGTTTCCTAGTCTGTTGTTCCTGATTGATGTTATTATCGTCATTATTCTGCCATATTGATTTCCTTGTCTCTATGGTAACAGCTGGATTGGCCCATGAGATATCACCATATACACTTCTGCCTTGCCTTTTTCGGTGCTGTGAATGATTCAAATGTAGGCCAATATGAGATTTGAATCTTGTTATATTTCTTATTCCATAAACATTCAACAATCTTTTTATTATAGTTAGGATGGTAAGTGCGCGCTGATTGGTCGGAAACTGTGCTTTATTAGTGAACGAAGCACAGTGCTGACGCCATTTGCGCGCGAGAAATGCTTCCTTTTTGTATAATAAATTCAATACCGAAATAAAATTAGAAACTATATAACAAAACAAATAAAACAGCGTTTTCCGTGCTCCGTTTAGTAATAAAGCTGTTATGAAGCGCTAAGACGTGCCCCAAGTCGACCTCTCTTGTCTCCCGAGGAGTTTATTATTATTCGAGCAAAGCGAGAAGTTGGCGAGCGCAGCAATCAAAACGACGTACCCGTTAAAGATACACAAAGGGCGGCAGACTTTGCGAAGTTTCTAGGAAGCGCCGTAAACACTTAAAAAGTGCACTTCGTGTTTACGTCACTTCATGCGTGCTCTATTACTGAACGGAGCACGGAAAAAGCTTTTTTTGCGTATTAAATTTGAGCCCTCTCCACCCTGTCTTCTCCACAGCGTATTCTTAGTGCCTACAGCTTACCTCTGGGTTTTCTGTTGTTCTATTTTGGTTAGCTCCTGGACTTTCCACTTTCTCTGGGGTGGGAGCATCTGGTGATCTGCAGAGGAGGATAGATACAATTAAGGACGTTCGCGGGCGGGCATTGTTCACGCGCAGCCTTTCTACGCATATGTTTAGTGCGCGCAGTTATCGAGATGACGTCATTATCATGTTTTGATGAGCCAAATACAGTGAGCCAATTTTTCAATACTATGAAAATTGCAGAATGAGGAGTCTATCTTCCTACTGGGCACCATTCACATCTAGATCTTATACGTGTAGTAATATAACTACATATATACAATTAGTAAGTCCTATAAAAAGTCCTATAGATTGTAGGGCTATTAAGCAAGTTAGGCTCAAGTGACTATTAACTGTCATCTGTCATGATTGACTGTATGTGTTTAATAATTATGTTATTTTTCAAATAGATCAGTTTCCATTTATTTTTCCAAGGAGACTATACCTGTACGTATGCACACATATTATACCTCTAGCCCAATTCACAAGTGTCATCTTAAAGCCAGGGGCAGGTTCAAAATCTTCTAGGGAAGATTTGGGGCTAATGAGCCAATTAAAATATGCACTGGGGAATGACAATATATTAGCTGGTATACAATGGGGATATATCTTATAGTCCCCTTGAATACTAATATATATTGACCTTCATCTTTTTTAAAAGTTGCACGTGCCAATGGCATGGCAAACAAAAAGTGGCCTATCTCTGATCTATTAGTCCGTACTTTATCTGTACAGGACAGCATACAAAGCTACTATAGTACTGTTGGCCTGAATTTAGGTTGCATAATGGCCAATTTGTCGAATGTAGTGAATATGTTATGAAAACTAATCCCTGAAATTGTTGATAAATTTATATACCTGAATTTGGTGAGTAGAGAGCATGTCGTTCCCTGTTTTCTGGAAGGTGTTTTTAATGCTATGGATAATTCCTTCTCTTGATAATCATACAACACATTCTTATCCAATAATGTGCATAACAAAAGATAAGACTCTGATCCTATCATGTTTTTATCTGGCTCAGGTTTTAGCTCATCAGTGTGCTTTTTAGCACTGCTATTGAGGACACCATCTATCTGAGTCTTGAGATATGAAATGGCTTTTTTCACATCCTCTTTAGAGATTGTTCCATCCGTGCCCCTGATGAAGGTGGATTGGAGATTCCAAAGGATTTTTGTTACAGCAGATCTACAATCAAATGTAATATTGAGTAAAATATTCTTGCATACAGCTCTGATTTTTTGGAGAATAAACTGTTGATCTATAATTATTTGAGTTTTTAATACATGAAATGATTTCTGATGTACCTGTAGTCTTGATATGCATTCCTGCAATTATTAAGTGATCTGCCCTTTCCCTTTATTATTGTATTAATATTAGTTGATGTATTAAAGATTCTTCTAATAAACTTACTTTGCATCTGGTTCTTCTTCCAAGATATTTTGCAGTTTTTGGAAAAATGACACAAAATCACCCAATCCCTATAATGAAAGCAAAACAATTAGTGGCCTATAATTAAGTTGGACAAATTGCAATTAAAAATTTTTGTTAATGATTGAAGCCAATTCATTAAAATGGGGTCATACCTTTGTCATTAACCAAAGTGGGTTTTCAGTTGAAGGGGCATAACTTTTGCCACCAAGGCGAATTTGCAAGATAAATGATGTTACCATCTAATTAGAAATAAATGTCATATCAGTGAGTGGATATATATATGATGCTTCAAAAACTTTATAAAAAAATCCAACATTTTTTTGCACTTTTTTGACTCTGTTCCGCAAATAACAGCTGTACCAGCAATTAAATGTAACTATACAAGCAAATACATATATAGAGGACAAACAATTAATCCATAAAACACTAATTACTAATAGTACAAAATAGTGCTAATTAAACAATAGAAAACAATGGAATTTGCATAAAAATTGTGCTATTTAGTATTATCAAAGTTTCATGGATTTACTGTGGTCACTATACCACAAATTTCCTTTGCTTCTCAGTTTTTCCATACCTGATACATTGACATGTTTTTTTCTCTTGCTAGTCTCTTTATTTTTGTAAACTTTCGAACTCCCAGTTCCCTATCTGGTGTGTTAATCACCCTAGCTAAAGCAAGCTCATCTCTGGAATTTAGTAAAAGCTGTAGATAAGACATCACAACGGACAGCTCTTGTCCCTATGAAATGAAAATATGCAGGAAAAAAGTTTACTTAAGTTTACTTAATTAAATTAACTTAATAGTGAAAACATGTATGCCTGATCATGAGCTGAGTCAGTTGCCATAGATACACAAATATTTTATTTATTTATGTTGTAACATCTTTACAGTTTCCATACACTGGACTCCTCCTGGACTCAGAGACTAGAGCACTGATTCCCTCATAAAGGTTGCATGCAAAATCATGCAGCGAGGGTTTTGAAATTCTCTAGTTATGATGCTAGTGCCAACCCTCTTTTTCGGAAACTTGGATGGAAAAAACTAGAAGTCCAACGAAAAATACAAAAAGCTGATTATGGACTATAAATCACTGCATGATCTCACACCAGCATATCTGAGTTCTATTTTTATCGATCGTAGCAGCATAACAAATTATTCTTTGAGAAACACCGAATGCAAACTAGCTATTCCTAGGCCACGCACCAATTATCTAAAGAACAGTTTTAGCTATGATGGTGCAGTGCTAGGAAATAGCCTTCCATGTGAGTTGCGGCAAGCAAGCACTCTGATTCAATTTCGAATAGGCTGCAGCAACTTCTTCAATTGAATTTTATACACATAGTATACATGACACTCTTGGAAAGCAGATACTCTTTTTATTATGTACTTATATTGTATTATTAGTCTTTAATAGTTAATTAACTTGTAGTTAGCTTATAGTATATGATGTAAATAGAATTAAGTAATTTTAGCATTATACTAATTGTAAATCCTGAAGAGTCTACCATGTCTAAATAAAGCATCTATCTATCTATCTATCTATGTATATTCACAGATAAACTTCTACTTACCATTGTCCTACGACCTTGTGAAAAGGGAGATTGGCTTAGAATAGGTGACTGTCCTCCTGATAGACACACAGACCCTTGTCTATCATTTGTTCCAGTCTGATGCTGTGGAGTCACTTGACAAGTTTGTTTTTTTGTAACATGCACAGGGGTTGATGGCATAACTGATTCTTGTGTTCTAGGAACTACCTCTTCCATGTGTTTATTTGCATCAAATCTGTCCTTGATGATTTCATTGAACTTGTCACTTGTTATTGTGGATTTTCCTGATGGATAAGTTAAAAATGTATTGAATTTATAGATCTCACAGCTAACCAAGGATCCAGGCGGGTGTCCTGTGCTGCAATTGACACCCCCCTATTGCTTTAAATGCTCACTATTACAGTTTTTTGAAGCGATGAATAATATACAATTTAATATAACAAATTATAAGTGTGAACTCCATTACGTGCAGCACTTTTCATGACATACTGACACTGAACCACTTGGTTTATTTAATCCTCCTAACATTATACTTATTTATTTATTTATTAACTTACTTATTTATTCATTCATTCACTCATTTATTAATTTATAAATTCATTTACCATACACCATACAAACTAATACAACATAAGAATAAAATAAAAAATAATTAAGAATATACTAAAGGAGAAAATTTAAACCAAAAAAAAAAACCCATGAAAGCTATGGTGAGGGTCACACAACAGAGCAAGCTCCAAATTGAGTCTGCTCTGGATGGACTTTTCAGGGCTTTTTTATTTATTTATTTATCTAGCTTCGCCATTCAAACATTCACACGTGAACCCACTCACACATACACACTCACAAGAATAATTACATACATATATACATAACGGCTGGGAATCCACTACAGCGTGTGCCAATTACAGTGGTCCCTCACATTAACACTAATTTAAAAAACGTTCGTTTGAAACAAAGTTGTTTTTTTTTTGTGTGTCCTTTTTCTCTTGATTATCCTTGATTATCCTTATTATTGACAGAAAAGTTAATAGCAGCATGATGGGGCGCTCTGCAATCCTCAGGCTGTGAACTTTGAACTTTTTTAATCAATAGGTGCCATTTTTACGAAAGATTAATAAAAATTATAAATATAAAGTTCCTTATTTTAGGGCACATGTTAAGTGTAACAGCCCAGGGCTGATCTACACATTATTTTTATCTCCTTCCATCCCAAACCTCTTGGAGAAGTGGGGGAGATTCAAAAACTAAATTCAAATGTCCCATAGAAAGCAACATCTTACCTTGATTAGGAGATAAAAGTACAATATTCCTAGCTCCAATTAACAGCTGGAGTATTTCCATCTACAATGGGACAATGAAAGGAATAATATATTATATAGCTAAAATAACATTAATTACTTTGTAATATGTAAATGTAATAGTAATTCATTTCATAAAAAATATTTCATTATTGTAAATTATTATGCAAAAATAAATTGAACTGAGTTGAGAGCAACAAACCAAGAGCTTGCCAGAGTCTTATAGACCCTATTCTCTTAGACCTATATCTATTAGAGGGGGGAGAGGGAGTCAAATAGAACAGGGTAGCAGGGTATGCCAACATGATGAAAATATTTTTCTCTACAATAAGAATAAAAAATCTTACTTCAAATACTGTTGTTGGAATGCCAAGAATGATGTACTGCTGGTTTTGATATAGTTCTTTAGTATTGTTATCTGATGCCTGGAAGCATTGACTGACACAGTTGATAATGTCGGCATAATCCATCGCATTACAGTCTGCCAAAAATTTACCATAATCTTCTATGATCTGTAAAATCTCAGGATCCTTGACTGATGACAGACCATAAAGCTTGCTTTCGATCAATTGTTGATGGGTTGAGATCACATCCAGAGTATCAGCTTCAAATTCTCCTGATTTCTGTAAAAATGTGATAAGTACTTTAGTATTTTAGTGGCTGGCGATAAACTGAGATATTGATAATATCATAGGGGAGGAGTTTGGTGGGATTTTCTTGGTAATTGTCCATTTGAAATACTCAAATCGAAAATAAATGTAGATAACGAACCTCTTTGTTCTTTTGGGCCATGACAATCTGTAGAGATATCAATTGGTCCGTCAGCCCGTAAATCGAATTACAAAATGGAGGACTTTTGCTGCAATGTTTTCTGTAGATCTCTACACACAATTCCAATGGATGTAGCAAGGAATGCTCTTCACACTGCCCTAGGAACTCATTTGGATTGCCATATGTAGACCTGGTTGAGTTTAGTACGTCGCCCATAGCTAGAACCTTTCGATTCGAATCATCTGTATAAAAGAGAATGAATCTTTCACTCATTCCTAATACTGTCTTACAAACTACATCACTAATACCTCAATACTCACTTTCATTGTCACTGCTTTCATTTATACGTTGTAAAATTAGGTCTATGTCTTGCTTTCCTTTGACTTCTAACACACAATAGACGTCTGCATCCATGATGATCGAACCTTCGAAATGCCGCTTGTTTTTGAACGGCTTTTTAAAATGTTTTCTTGGAAACTTCAACCAATCAGAGCGAACCTCGTGCTCAGTTTCCTCCAGACCGTGGCCGCTCACAGGAAGCCGGTCACACAAACTGGTCACGCATATTTGACAAGTTATGACTATATGCATTGAGTAAAATGACGTCATACGTATTTTATAGTATTTTAGGAAAATAATATGTTATATTCATAGACTTTCCGCTTGATTTAATAGGTATTTTATAGTTGTCCTGCAAGTACCTTGTTAAAAATAAATTAAATTTTAAAAATCTTTATTTTTATTTTATCTTTATTTTATTTAAAAAAACATATTAAATAAAATTAAATAAATAAAATTCAAAAATGTGTTATCATCCACTTTTCTTTTGTGCCTTGTACTCAGCTAGAGTATTCAGCATTTTTATAATACACTCAACAAAATTACTCGGTTCTGACTGGACAAGAGGAGTACAATTCAACCCTGAATATTGTACTCTGTAGAGTTCCAATTAATTTGCTCAATTTTGTCGAGTGTATTTTAAACGAAAAATCGCACCATCTTCTCGTACATTCGGAATTGATAGATACTCGTGATGTTTTGACGTTCTCAATTTTGAAAAATATTCAAAATATCACTCGTACTTGACTCCAAAATGTACTCGAGATCGTGCGATTTCCTATTGAAATTAGCACAATCCTGAGAAAGTTTTTAAAGAAAAGTTGCGAGGAAGGAATACTGAGTGCCAAACTAATGCGTAACATTTGATAACAAAATACATTAACTGTAAGCTAGGGTTCTCTATGCAGGCTCCTTTTATGAGCATTTTAGTCATTATAGTCCAATAATGATCGACTCCCTGCGAGGCTGTGGGTAACTACTGGGCAAAGGACACAATAACTAGAAAACAAAGTCACATGACAAATGCTAGATTATCCACGGGGATAGAAAACAAAGTCACATGACAAATGCTAGATTATCCACGGGGATAGAAAACAAGGGTAGATTATCAAAGGGGATAGAAAAAGAAGTCACATGACGAAGGCTAGATTATCTACGGGGATAGAAAACAAAGTCACGTGACGAGGGGTAGATTATCCACAAGGTCCATCGCATGCAGTGTATACATTTGATAGTTTTCTTTTCGCATGATCCCAGATGATCTCTGGCATGTTCCAGTGATTTTCATATTCGTGCTTGGCTAGTGGAGGACGCAATCTCTCCCCCAGCGTGTCACCACCCATGAGATATTTTAGCTTCAGCCTGCTTCGTGGGAGGCATTTTATTGCGATACGCGACACTAACACGCTATATCATCAAGCAAAATGTCTCCAGTTGGTTAGATAAAAATTTAGTCTTTCAAATTTGGCAAAAATTGTTAAGTGGCGGTGAAAAGTCAAATACCAGTTTGCAATTTTAATTCATATATTTTTTTTTAGATACGAGGACAAAACACTGCATAACTTATGTCAATCACCAGGTATTGTATGTCCACCAAAGTACTAAGTTGCCAATTAAGATTTATAATGATTTTTTCAAGCATAAATGCTAAACATGATTGATGAATATGATTCAACCGTCCTGAGTGATCAGGTAGCTAGCATTACACAATGTGTGCACATGTGTCCCCTAAGCCAGTTTTTGATCTTTCTTTTCATGCACGACATTTATTGCATGCCATAGATGCACATCAACCTTTATAACACACTCAGCCTGATCTTTATCGGTCAAAATCTTTTTCCATTGTTATTAAAGTAAAACGTTTTAATGATCGAATAAAAGGCAAAGCTTAGTATCGCGCGAGGCTTTTAGTTTTGAACCTCGCGCAAACATTAATCTAGGGTCTTATATGCAGATAAAAATAATTCAATAGACAGGATTTATAATATAAAGCAAGCACTCAAAAGACAACCATGTATTGAACATCATAGTCTGAAATATGAATGTCCTGCACGACTCTGCACGACATATAATGGCTTTCTCCTAAATTCAGAGTCGAGTAAGAAAAACGATGGACATGAGGAAACCAAACACATTTCAAGTATATACAAAAGAAAAAACCGAAAAAATGATGATGCCATGATGCTTTTTAGGTAGTTATTTTCGTTGTATGCTGCTACTAGCGATAAGAAGCCCTTTAGCAATCATCGTACGTCAATCAAAATTTCCGCATCATCGCATCGTTTTTGTCTTTGTCACTGAAATTAAACTTAAAACAATGACCTTAAAAAGTCCTGAGAAAGTTTTTTGTGTTGTAAGTGGATCACCACCTGCGGAGCATCGAAGATTTTGCTTAAAGGCTTTTTGTTGTTTGGATGGTTACTACTATAGCAAACCCGCAAGTCTGTATGAAATATGCAGGTGACTGAGAGTATGGTAACCGAATTCATTGAAGAGAACTGTGTTCATATATCTATCTATCTATATATATATATAGAGAGAGAGAGAGAGAGGAAAGAATGAAAAAATACGCTGCCCGTGTAGTAAAATTGCGAGGAGAAAATTTGACGGATACAATCAGAGGTTTTTTGCAGCGGATTGAAAATAGAACCTAGCTAGTCTAGTAACATCGATTGAAGAAATCTGCTGCCTTGAATCAAGATGAAAGAATTAAAACCAATTGAACAGCGGGGAAGGTTTCCAATGACCTTTGTCAAGCAGTAAAAACTGTTAGAAAAGTTTTTGTATGAAAATAAAACGATACAATTTTCCTTTAAAAGAAGTAGCAATAACAAAATATTTTGTTTTATCGAAGCCAGTGTATACCTCAGTTGGTGAAGAGCGACAGGCCTAGCGATCTTTATTAACATTGTCACTTTAAACTAAAAATTCGATGTCTGTGAAGAAAGAATTTTTCCAGACGAAAACGTTGTGTTCAGCACCCTGCGCAGCATTAGTTGCCGTCAGTTTACATGTAAAGTGGTAAGGCAAGCGGTAGGGAGGTTTGATCAGTGATATATGGCAATGGATGCCTGGGTTACAAATAGAAACTACCTAGAACTGATTATATTCACTACAGGTGCTAGATAACTTCCAGCTAGGTCGTAACCAGTGTGACATGCAATCTAGCAGCAAACTGCTGCTGTATCTAAAGAGATATTCTGGTTGCTATAGGAACTCACGTGCTAACCGATTTGTGTTTTTACCGGTACAAACATGTACCATCTGCTGGCGAGGGGGAACATTGTTAAAATATCAAGAAAACCTGCGAATAACCCTCTTGGGCAAATCCTCCAAAAATGCATAAAACGTTCCGTTTCTTTTGGGAATGTTAACGTGGGACAAAGTGACAAAGGCTGGAAAACCCTCTTTGTCGCGTGAATCAGTGTATCTAATTGTTCAGTTTGAAAGGTTGGACGATAGTCTCGGCTCTGCAAAGTTTCTTATAGTATAAGGAAACAAATTATGCTACTAGTTTCAGTTGTTCTTGCTCGGAAAACCGCCGTTTTCAGGTGTTTTAGATTTTGGTTATCAATATCGATTAATGGCAGAATGCAACTAGAAATAATTGTTACAAAAATTGAAACTGGGATTTAGTATAGAACATATAGTTGCATCAGATTTAAATGCTGGAACTGAATCACTTTTGTGTGAGAGCTATGCTTCCGCATAAGGCAACAGTGAAAACACAGGTAGCCCAAGCAAGGTTTCTGTGGTGTCATGTTAAAAGAAAATGTATGGCGATAAAAGCTCAATAAAATCGTCAAAATGTGAAATGTAACCTTTAAAAAGTAGTATATCTTTCGCCCTGTGTACTTAAATTTTGGATTTAATCAGTTTTAGCGTTTTTTCCTCCACTGCATGTTACCTTCTCTACTTTTTTAACACTGAAGGGAAAAAAGTTTGTATGGTACCCAGTGACTTGTTGGTCAGTCCTTCAACCAGTGTGACAGAGTGAAGTGTATTTTTTTATCTTATTGTTCATCTACTTATGCTTGTGATGCTAGTAGGTTTGTGTTTTGTGTATGTATTATTCGTGCTTATGCTCAATCAGTTGTAAAATTAATTAAATGGGGGGGGGGGGGGGGGGGGGGGGGGGGGGGAATGTTGGGACATCCAAAGATGTACTCCATAGTTTATAGTTTTAGATCACACAATTTAGTTAGTTCACTGTAAGATCTTGAATAATAGCATGGCAGTGCTACATGTGGTCAGCGCGGTGGAACATTACCAGCTTCTTCCACAAGTCAAATCAACAAAAGGGCATGGATCTTAGAATTGACATTTTCAAAACTTGAAAGACTGACTACCAAATGTCAATACAAAATAAAAAAGGCAACCAACGACTTATATGTGATGGGTTATTAGTTACAATAATGCTTTTTTATAAAAACAATTTGACAAAATGTTATATTATGCTTTCACTTACGTCGAGAGATTAAAATTAGATCACTTGGTGTTTTTAAAAAACAGCTTAAGACATTAGGTAATTTTTATCAATTCTTAACATAGTTTTCTATTATAGTTTATTANATTATTATTATTATTATTATTATTATTATTATTATTATTATTATTGTAGTTAGTATGACAAGAAATTTGTCCAATCGTGATGAATGACAAAAAAAGATTGGGGTTTCATATCATATAGCCCAAACCAGCGAGAACTTCTAATCATAACCAATATTTGCGCTCTCCGTTGTTTACTTTCATCTTCAAGTAATTCTATGTATATATAGTTCGGCAAAATTAAATCCAAGACTGAACGATCTTCTGGTTGCATGTACGCGCGGAATGAGGAAAGTTTTTCCCACGACTTTTGCTGGTGCTCTAAGGTACGAGTCTGTTCTACATGAATGAGTGATGTTATGCCATTTATCTTGGGTGTTAAGAAATTGATGACAGGAGCTTTGATGGCCAACTTGTTAGTCAGAAAACGAGTGATTGAAAACCGTCACCAATCAAGAATAATCGATGTCAAATAAACGCTAAATTATTTTAGTAAGAAGAATCGGTTATTTGAACTTGTTAAACGTGGTAATGAAGGGGTCTTCTTGGTCGATCGCCGTCATACCTACTTCAATTTAATCATAAAACTCAAGGCAGACTTCCTTGGAAACCTTATGCGACTTTGAGATGAGGAGCGCGCGTTCCGAAAACATATCGGCTCCGGCAAGTGGGATTTATACAAACCATTTCCTTTTATCTTTATCTTTGACAAGTTGATTGATAATTGTCTCGACTTTCATTAAACCACAGGAAACAATTAATGAGTCTCGTATTAATATTGCTCATTTCAATAATGAATAATATAAGTGTATTTACATAGGCCAGTATGAAAAAGATAGCAATATACAGCCAAAAGAGGAGTGATATACAAGACATGGTAATGTTAAGAGGAAGCGCATCTATGAGAACCGCTGAGAGCCAGCCACTCCTTTTCTTTAGACATTTAGATATATGATGGCCAAACACCTGTTGACTATGCCAAGTCACCCGGGGTTGCGTTGCTAGCTTTTACTAAGACAGTTCTGCATACAATTAAAGGGAATAATTAAGCGTGATATCTCAGAAAACTGGGTCACCCAGTTCTATAAATCAGAGGGCATATTTTGAGACGAAAGCAATATTTGTTATATCTCTCTTGAATTGCTTCACAGTATAATCCCTACACTACAGAACTCGATCCCGACAGTTCAGTCAGTCAATTTAATTGGTCGGCTAGTTCATTCTCTGTTTGAACCAGTAATACTCAAGTGGACATTCAATACCTTCAATGCCGTGCCCACCTACATCCTGACTCAAAGTTTTAGAAAAATTATAGATAAGGAATCTATTCAATGTTTAATTTAATATGTTTAATTGTTATTCATTTGATATCAATATATTTAATGACGCAATTCATCCTGGCTTTTGTTTTGAACTTATGGTTGCCAGTATTAACATTACCTTCAAAATGTAAGGAGAAAAAACTCGGTTCTAAATTAATAAAAATTGACAGACATCAAGTCTTTGACAAGCGTTCTATAGACAGTAGATCTAGGAATACTTACTTAATGAAATAAAATATAAAGTTCTGAGTAAATTCATTCATCGAAGAGTTTTGGATTCTCTTTGGATTCATTTGCTTCCAGCTGCAAGTTGATATGCTTGGAAAATCTTCTTATTTGGATCATTCTTTTTTTGTATCCGACCTATCATAGTTCAGTTTACGTAATCTATTTAATACTCTGAATTATTTTACGCAATATATGTGACTTTTGCACAAAACGAGGTGTCTTAACATCAGTATTTAATGAGCTAGGGCTGGGCTCAGGGAGTTGCCTGAATGGAACTATTAAATTAACGTTTTTGTTGACAAAGCTGGCTGTTATTGGTTCTGGCAAACTAAGGGTCATCATAAGAAGATTATATTTTAAATTTTAATCTAGATAAGAGAAATAAATGGTATAGCATCGGTTAAATGATATTATCTGAATTCAATGAAACCTGGCGAGACAAGTGCAACTACAGATCACTCACACATACATCTTTTCTTTTTCCTTGCATTTTCTTGATAAGTGATTACTTCAATGAATCCATCAGTTTCCATTTGAATAGTGCTTGCGTCGCTGATGAAACCCAAGCCTTATAGTTTTAATTTGATTGCTTAATGGTTGCGCATGTACCAATAAAGTTAAAAGTCCCTAAGGTCTTTCCAGTGAAGACATCAGCCTTGCAGCTGTGAGCCACTCACCCTAGTGAAAAAAAACACATCGAATTCTTCTGAACGACTCAGAGATGATTATTGACTAAAACAAAAACAGGAGAAATCTAGTTCCCGTCTAGATTAAATAGTAAGAGTAAGAGGGTCTGAATGAATTTGATAAAACGTTGAGGGGAGGGTTGACTGAGGTGCAAACTGATTCATGCGTAGAGATCTAGATCTAGATTAAAAAAACAAACTCAAGAAAAAACTTCAAATAGCTCCTTTTCTTGTATTTCTTTTAATGATCTTATTATTTTTAATACAATCAGGTAATTTTTCTTCAATTCTTTCTCTTTCGTTGTCACAGGAGAATCAGGAAACGTCATTAGTGTTGTTGGCCTAAATAGCCCCAAAAAGATTCGCCCAAGAGGCTCATGCATCTTTCTTCGTTTAATGTAAAATATCAACCATGAATCTCTTACAGCAACAACTGCAGCAGGGCAATCACCATCATGGCCAATCGTACGTCAAGAAATTTAAGTTTCAATTATGGGTTTTTGATTCAGAAACTAAGATCTAATGTTTTATCAGTGCCCTGAAATTAAAATACCCAGAAGGCCTTTGTTTCTAATTTTGGATCTCTCAATTTTGGCTTGATCAAAAAGAAAGTAGACAAAGCAGCAGTTGGTCTCCAGTTGCATTCTATATTCAATATGATTTCATTAGGCACGAGTCTGAAATGCATTGGAGAAAACTTCACACCTTCGCTGGGTAACTTTTGTTCCATTTGGAGCCGCGTTTTTGCACCATTAATGGTTACTTAGCAACTGACTTGGAGCGAAACAGCAGTCACAGGGTCGAATCAGCTCTCTAAATCGTTTATGTCCTTCTAGTTAAGGTCATTAAATATGTCCTGGGAAATTAGTGAATATTGAGAAACCGTTGCATAAGGGGAAACACACTTTGTATATAGAAAGGTGATAACAATCATGTAGAGATATTATTGATGCGAGACGATACAATACAACATGTCTTTAGGCTATGATTCTAGCTATTCATTCATAGTTATTCATTCTCTACAACTAAATGTACCATCTATGCCAAGTATGAGAAAAACTGAGAAAAAGAAGGAAAAATAGACACATCTAGACACCAATTAGGCCGTAAATTAAGCTCGCTCCGTTCAACGACTTGTTCTTTTTCAAAGGTTTTACGGTAAAAGGTAATATATTTTCGTTCGGCTGACATTTTCTTTTGGTCATTGAAAGGTTGCCGGCTGTGCTGTCACTCCAAACCTCGACATTTTCAGTAGATGGCATCTGTTAAATTCGTGTATTTTAATTTTAGTTATCGCCATATTATATTTAGTTTTTATGGCGCCCAGCTGAAGCCACGTTTTATGAATTTGTAATTGGTAGTTCCAACAGTCACGATTTAATTTTTGCTAGTACGCTAGCCGTCCTTCCCCTGAAAAAGTCATTCTTATCTAAGAACTGTCTCGAACTCTCGGCTCTGAACTGCACCAATCCGGGACTCGAGGAATTCATTTGAAGCTAGTCTTGTAACCACTGGAGCCAGTCCACAAGAGTCCACAACGCCATCTGTCATTTTCTCAATAAATTCGTTAACCGATTTGCTTGAATAAACCCGAACTGGTGGTTCTAGATAAATACAAGCATTAATCAAAAATGGCAAAGAATTATACCTTGTGCATATGAAACAAACTATGCATTTTTAGCTGTAAAGATTTGGAAGCCAAAAACAAGACACCCCGAAATTCGAATTTTCCTTAAAAGTCAGTTTTAGTCGTTGCAAAAGATAAGGATTAGCCACGGCACGCGCTGTCCATAAACTTAAATGAACCTATTGTATCATCAGCCAATGAAAAAACAGCTCAAAAGTGAAGATCAATGCTCTCCCCCCTGCTGCAGGTGATAGCACAATACCGGGGCACTCATGCTTTACCGAGGCCCATCCAGCGGTTGCTAGCTAGCTAACGCTTTATTGACTAGTAGTATCGACAGCTGTTGTATTATAATATCAGCGTTTGTCTTTATGTAAATGTGTCGAGGCCTTTGTTCCAAAAGGCTAGTCTACATTCTGCAATTGAAAAAAGATTAATGCTTAAAAGTACAAAATCAAAAATATTGAAGCGTCCAAAATCGAGCAAAATCCGGTTATAGCCAATTCTTTTGATTTTCCTGGATTTTAAGGAATAAATGGAGAAGTGTAAGCGTTTCACTTTCGCAACGCTAACAGGAACAAAAACCGTAGAATGGTTTAGCTCTGCTTGGGGTGTTGTAACAATACATGCCCCATATTCCCAAAATAGAAAGAACGCGCTAAATTATCTTGTTTCCAATACCCTTGTCAAGATTGACTTTCACAACGCTTGAAAACACGTCTGCTCGATAGTGCAAACTCCTTTTTTGTAGTTTTTTTAATTTGCTAAGTGTAAACATTGATTCTTTTGCCATAGAGTTCGAAATTACCGGAAACAGAGGTTGCGCTACTTCGGTTTCGTGTGTCAGCCAGATCAAAGCTGAAGTTTATTCATCCAAAAACTATGACACTACCTATTAAAAATATCGTGCATTCGAGATGATTTGCTATCAAGTCAAAAAGGCTGCAATGTCACTACAGAACGACTACAAAATAATCTAAACAATCGTCTAGCTTTCTCTTCTTTATTATTTATGTATGAAATTACAAAATAAACCACATTTAAATTGGAAACCTAGTTACATTATACGTTAATTGTTAATCACTTGATCAGTTTGAAATGAAAATTTCTATATTAAAAGTCTTGATTTGCATGAAAGAACAAGTTAATATGCGAACAAGCACAAGGGTAATTCATTCATAGTTGGCTGTTCTATATCTTTCTTCTCGCATTAAAAACTGCAGCTGTAAGTGTCTGGCTGGTTCGAGTCGTATTCCTCTGACTGCGAACCGCATAGTTCAATTCTGTTCAGTTTTGGCTGTTGTCCTTCGCTGGATATAAAGGCTACATCCTTAGAGCACATTTCGATATCATAAGTTCTAAAAACATTTTTTACTTTAACGACTATCTCGGAAGCCAAAGGCCTTTGCTTTGGATCAGCCTCCCAACATTGTTGAATCAGATTTACATATTCTTCATCACAAGTATTTATTTCTCCTGATAGCTTTGGTCGCAGTTGGTAAGCCACTACACCAAAAATGATAACGTGCTGGTTTTGATTCCCGTAAGGGAGTTCTCTTGTAAGCATTTGCCACAAACATATACCGTAAGAATAAATGTCTGCCTTAGTGGTTGGGCATTCACCTCTAAGTAACTCAGGAGCTCTGTAAGCATATGTGCCCGTCAGGTTGGATTTGGTCGGACTGGCAGGTTTATCGTTAACTTCTACAGCTTGGCAGCAACCGAAATCAGCTAGTTTACAGTGATCTTCGCATGATACCATAACATTACTTGGTTTGAGGTCTAAGTGTACAATCCCTTTTTCGTGAGCATAATCCAGTGCATGTGCTATGTCCAGGGCGAATTTCGTGCGGCGTGGAGCTGTAAGTGACTCAAACGAGTCGTTTATAACGTTCTGTAAATTTCTGTCCCCAGCATATTCCATAATTATACAGTTCGTGTCACATATAACTAGCAGAGCAAAAGTTCTTACAATATTAGGATGTGCAAACTTGAGGACAGAAGTTTCTGCCTCAAAACTTTCCCGAGCTGCGCGTTCGTTTTTGAGTCCTTTGTGTAGTTTCTTGAGCGCCAGCCGCTCTCCGCGAAAGACCGTCTCGTATACACTCCCAAATCCACCACTTCCAAGAAGCTTACCAATTTTGAGCTCAGATGTTTCAAAGTTTCCACTGGCAATGAGGTCGTGAACCATTTCCCTTCGACTGTGAGAGGAGTTTTCGCAAAACAAACTTCCAAGTCTTTGGAGAACCATTTCCCTTGATGAGCTCAGATAGTTGAAAGCTTTAAAAAGCTCTGTGACAAGACAGCGAAGAGAGTGAGCAGTATTGAAGGCAGTGTTTCCGAGTGCTGCAGATTTGTGGTCCCTTAAGATCAAAGACCTCAACTGGACACTATCTGAGACGGGAATGAGCCTTTTGAGTTGGTGTACTTTCTCCTAGCTCTTTGTTCACAATGTGCACGAGCGAAAACAAATGCTTTTCTAGCTTCTGCGAACAAGCCACGCGCAAACCCCTTCTTCAGGTGTGAACTCTATAGGGCAAATCCCGAATTAATGAGGTGGGTAGCCAATCAGAGCCTCTGATGCAACCGAGCATGACCAATCACATCGCTTATGATCGAAAACCTATTTCATTCATTTTGGACACGCAATATACCTGTTTGAACACCAAGTTGCAAATCGCCCAAACTTGTCTTGCGATTTAACGGAAGTTGTTCGTTTTCGCCTGAAATATTATACTTTTAAATACATCAACCGAAACAAACACTCGTTATCCATTTATTCGGCAACAGCGCCGGCTTTAGCTGAAGTTCCACGCGCTCTTGTTGCATGCTTGAGTTGGTTTTATTTGCACATGGTGACAATGCGCGTTCAGTGGAGCTTGAAATAGGTCGCGCTATTTGCATACATTCGAGATTAGTGAACCGTAAATATGCCCTGTTCACGATAACCTGTCATGTGTATATGCGTGAATCGTCACGACAGTACACGGATTTACAACAAGATGCCTATATATCTGTATATCGATAAGGTAGCCCTTCTCTTGATGGAAAAAATAATCAGTACATGTTTTACAAATCTACTGCGTGCGATGAAAAGATGGAGTGTTTTTTTCCTGGTTCACAAAAATGCTGGGAAACATCTATTGTACCATTTTTTCCTTGTTCTCGTGGCAACCATTTTTCCCGAACAAAATGCTCTTCTCTGATTGGCCCGACAAGCCAATAATCAAATGTCTATATTTATGGAGTTGTTGAAGCTGTCAATCACAGCTGTCATGCTCAACACATGGTTATTTACACTAGATTGTCCTCAGTAGAAAGATATGATACCGGCACACGACGTGTTGTATATGCTCTGTCAATACCAAGATAGCCAGCTGAAGAAAACCTTGCAAGTGCACACGCGTTGGATGGACGGAGGTGCTAAATTCTCAAGTCGAATGTGTTTAGGGAATGGTTTCTTTGAAAACATTAAGTCACTATTATGATCATGATTTTTTTTTTCCTCTTGCATCCTCAAAGGCGTATTTGTATCAGGCATGAAGCCCATGTATGTACAGAGGGGGAGAGGGGTGAGAAAATACCTTCGATCCCCTGCAGAAGATGAGATAACATTTGCATTCTGATTACAGATCGTATGACAGCTGAACAACAAGTTTCGAATCTTGTAATCAAAATGCTAATCCAACTTAATCATCCGTTCATCCTTTTGATGTCTTTTTATTCTTATTGTTCTTTTTTCACTTTTTACTTTTTAATGTTCTAACTTATTCATTGGTAATTCAGTATGATTACTTTTGAAGACTGAATTTCCTTAATTAGCAAAACGACTTTCCGTCGATATGGGTTTTTTAATGTCTTTCGCCCTTCGCCTCTTGCAAACAAGCGCTTTGAGAATTTCAAAACGTAGCGGCCACTTTGGACCCCACCCCCCCC